TGTTGAATCAAATTAGGAATTCGAATATAGTAGGATTTTGTGCAGTCAACTTATTCGAGATTATTATATAAATGTTTGACTAAGAGTTTAGGCTTGAATAAATACACAAAGAAATCACAAGTGTGTTCTAGTTTCAAAGTGTTATGACAAAAAGTACAGGATGAGACACCAATCTCATTCTGTAACTACAGTTAGGTAATTACACTCTCACCCTGTAACTATACTTACATACTCACCCTGTAACTACACTTAGGTATTTACACACTCATCCTGCAACTACACTTAGGTAATTACTCATCCTGTAACTACGCTTAGGTAATTACTTATCCTGTAACTACACTTAGGTAATTACTCATCCTGTAACTACACTTAGGAAATTACTAATCCTGTAACTACACTTAGGCAATTAAACTCATCCTGTAACTACACTTAGGTAATTACTCACTCATCCTGTAACTACACTTAGGTAATTAAACTCATCCTGTAACTACACTTAGGTAATTACATATCCTGTAACTACACTTAGGTAATTACACATCCTGTAACTACACTTAGGTAATTACTCATCCTGTAACTACACTTAGGTAATTAAACTCATCCTGTAACTACACTTAGGTAATTACTCATCCTGTAACTACTTAGGTAATTACTCATCCTGTAACTACACTTAGGTAATTACTCATCCTGTAACTACATTTAGGTAATTACTCATCCTGTAACTACATTTAGGTAATTACTCTCATCCTGTAACTATACTTAGGTAATTAAACTCATCCTGTAACTACACTTAGGTAATTACTCATCCTGTAACTACACTTAGGTAATTAAACTCAACCTGTAACTACACTTAGGTAATTACACTCATCCTGTAACTTTAGGTAATTACACACTGTAATTATTCAAATGTAGATATGATAGAGCCCAGTAGGCTCAGGAATCTGTTAATTTAATTATCAGATTCTGTTCTACTCTAATTCTATAATTAGCTCTTAGGACGCTGACAATATGTTCTTAAATTGCATAGGTTCGCGGTTAGTGAGGCATCAAGATGTTGGCCACCGCCTGATACTTGGGTAAGGTGAAAATACAAGGAGGAAACTTTACCGAGAATAATGCTAGGATGCATGACTGTCACAAGTATGCCTAGCTGTCTCCAGGACATGCTTGTCTTCCCCCATGTTGTTCACGTCTGTCCGAGGCGGATTAGAGACAAGACTGTCACACAGACAATTAGAGGACAGCTCAGACAGACACTAGAGGACAACACACATGGAAAACGCACAGTAATGATAGAGAACCGACACAGCAAGAAAGACAAAAAGAACCGGCAGAATACACATAGGATCGACACACAGGGACAACAGACAGAGAACCAGTACAGACACATGACCGACGGAACGCACTGTCCGCACGCCACCAGTAGACAAGATCAAGAAAGCAGTAGCGATTCTTCCACAAACGAAGCTCGATCGAAGGAAACAAGCCCACCTTCCTCAGACCCACTGAACCGCTGCCGCCACACTTATGCAAAAAAATTCCAAGATGATGGGAGGGGGGTGGAAAGAAAGAAAGAAAGAAAGAAAGAGAGAGAGAGAGAGAGAGAGAGAGAGAGAGAGAGAGAGAGAGAGAGAGAGAGAGAGAGAGAGAGAGAGAGAGAGAGAGAGAGATAGAGATAGAGATAGAGATAGAGATAGAGATATAGAGATAGAGATAGAGATAGAGAGATAGAGAGATAGAGAGATAGAGAGATAGAGAGATAGAGAGATAGAGATAGAGAGAGAGAGAGAGAGAGAGAGAGACAGAGAGAGCGCGAGCAGAGCGAGAGAAGAATCTTAGTCACGATAATGAGTACAAAGTTTTGGTGGCCAGAAATTACTTGCGCCACGTGTTGCACAGCGCCAATGCAGTTTCACGTCTAACTAAAAAATGCAATGATCAATATCAGCCAGAACGTCTTATGGCCTATTTTCGGTCAAATATCATACAACAAAATTAGCATTTTTTACCTCAAGATGTCGAACATTTGGCAGCGAACTCTCCAGATACAGCAATAGAGCTTTGTGTGAACCACACGACCCCAGGGAAAATCCTGTATGTCGTAGGGGAAAAGTTGTGGTGATGATGGTAATGGCGCGCGTATGGTGGACATCGAGGGCAAGGCTAATTACTGTCAGCTGTATAGCGAGGGCTGAGACGGGTGGAGGAGCCGCCAGACGGACCCAGAGTACCTGGAGGTGATGGTCGGCGCCAGGACCACCACCCTCACCCCCCTGGCGTACCCTGCCTCACTTATTGATTCTTCTCCCCCAAGCCTCTCACCACACGGAAAATTCTGACAAAGATGGAGCCAGGTGTCACAAATAGGTCATGAATAAATCTATGGTAAGCTTGTTTTTTGAGAGAGAGAGTTTTGCTGTAGTATAACCTCATCCCTGCCTACTCAACATATCTACCTATATTGAACAATTGTCTCAAGTAATCTTCAGATCTTGATGCAAGAATCAACACTTTCATTCATACAAGCCTTTGAGGTCACGGAGACAGGTACACTATCTGGGCCAATTATAGTATAATATCACAATCAAAATAAGAGTATATCAGTGACAGCGACAGAGTATACTCTGCAACCTTAAATTAACATACTATACCAAATATCACGACATATATATACATATCCACTAGAACACATCTCATTAGCAGAGTAGGATGCATTGACTAGCATATGGGACAATATTAATGAACCACTTAACTGGTTGGTTGGGTATAAGAACAGGTGCCGTCTCGTATGGGCCAATTAGGCCTTCTGTGGTTACTCTTATTCATTCTTTCTTCAGTTTTAGTTAATTTATTATGCACATCACACCCACTTTGAGAGAATTAGCGGAAAACAAAAATTAAGGAATCTAGGCATGCTAGCCTAAATAATAAGTGATCCTACATATTTTTGTTACCCGGAAATTTGTTCCATATATTAACCACCCTATTTTCAAGTTAAAAATTGGCTCAAGAATTAAATACCAGAATTAATTTAGCCGAGCAAGTTACAATTCAAGCTATAATTTTTGTGTTCAATAGGTACATGCTGGAGAAATTTCGCTATTGGTAAATACTGCTTTCGACACGGCTGTGAACAAGTGAAATGGACGGTCAGCCAGCTTGGTTGAAAAACAAGCTTCAAAAAAGTAATTGGATAGGTGATTTAGTCCATAATCCTAAAATTAAAGTACTATACGTATGAGTTTGGTCTAAGGTACAAATATGAACCCATAGTAGCCTTGCATTATTGAACTTGGACAAACTAAAAACGTCTTTAATGGCAACAAATTTAAGGTCTATCGTAGGCCTAATGCAGGCAATCATAGTACACATGTGCTATACTAGACAGGAAGTTTTGCAATTTTGTTTACTTTCAATTTATGATATAGAAAGTGGTTTATTTGTGGCCCATCGCTACGTCCTTCGACCAGTTATAAGTTCTATCATTTCTGGAGGATGGGTTGAATACACGTCTCTTTGGGGAGGGAGGATTCGAAGCTCCATGTATCGTGCTCGAGACTCAGTGTAACCCTATTAGCCTTTATCCAGAGAAAAGTAAGGTATGGAAAAAATCTAGGAAATTTTCCGAAATCCTGAAAAGATCATGAAAAAAATGGTTTCATACAGTCCATTCTCCAATAATGAAAGTTCTGTATTTACAATTAGTTGGTAGGAGAGATGCTGGAAGGTACAGATGGGTAATATTAGCCATATACAGTAAATTTAATGCTGTAGAATTATTACTTTGGGGGAAGCTAGGTATACCATAGGCACAATCCTGTATAAACACCAGAGGTCCACGGTTGTTCAACATCCTCCTACCGAGTACAATAAACATTGCCGGAACAACCGTGGACATCAAGAGAAAACTAGATACTTTTCTTCTAGAAGTGCCAGACCAATCGGGTAGTGGTGGATATGTGGGCCGCTCCAAATAGCAGCCTGTTGTACCAAGCTCCCAAGACAAAGCCTAGACTCAGGCTGGGCTTGAGAACAACTCACAGGACCCCATCAAGCAGGGACTGTATACATTTTTGAGCCCGAGAAGGTAAGCAGCAGCAGATAGGTAACTGGTGGCATACATGAATCAAAAGTCAGCCATGGAAGAACAGCAATTTGAATGTTGGTAATACATCTGGCTTGAAAATTTTATCTTTGAAAATCTTTCAATTTCAAATAAATAGACCATTTGGTTTAAATCAGTGTCCACAACATTTCAAGTTGGCGAGGTAAGATTTCATTAAGATTATATAGTAAACAAGTACAATAATTATTCTTCTGTACCTAGAAGACTTCACTTCTGGCACAGAAGTTAAAGTTCCCAGAGATTTGGGATGCCAATACAAGAGCAATGTAAGGTATCAGACTTACCAAGAATTTTATATTGGGGGCCAGTGGCTCAAAAGGGACATCAGCAAAGCAAGACTTTTCTTATATTGAAAATCAGGGCATTCCACAAGGATGTGCACAAAGTTGAGAGGACTATTTAACACAATGCATGTTGCAAGATATTCAAAAAGTAAAAGTTCAAAGACAGACAAGAAGAGCAACAGGCAATGGTGTGATCAATGATTTTATCGAGGTACAAGTGACTACGGGACACTGGAAAACATGATTTTCGATCCTGACAATCAGGATATGTATGACTAAGCAGGGCATTCTGGATAATAAGGCCTTGTTCCAAAAGTCCCGATGAGTGTCGTCACTAGTACAAAAGAGCAATTTCCCAACTGCTATGGCAGGCAAGGCAATTATTGGAAGAGACTCATGCAGTTAACAGTAAAGTGTTAATCCTGTGTGGTCGATAACTAGCCACAAGCAAAGTTACATTTAACACTATGCAATGTATGCCAGGTGATATCTCCACACTTAATACAGCAATTTCTCTGAGCTTGGCAGTCAACATTTGCAATATTAACTAAAGAGGCACAAAGGATATCACATCAGTCGCAGTCCTCTCACCAAACGGAATATCTTTTTTTGTGTATCAATTTTGGGATAAAAATAAAATTTATTTTTTTTTTCTTCATTTACTTTAACGTTTACAGATAGGTATCCCGGAACTCGAAGTTCACCTCCTTGCCAGTTAGCTTCTTGTAGACAGCAGCAAATGTGTCGACCTGGAAAACATGTATTTAATCAATATTCCAGTATTTAATTTTATACTATTCCTCTATATAATGCATATTCAGCTCTTCTTAGAATAAACACTCAGAAGTCATGTTCAAAAAGGATCATCATTGTTAAGGTTATACATGATTTTCCCAGATATATCGCACAGTTTTCATTGCGATTCTACACACAGTACATCAAATTCATAGAGTAAACTATATCGCTTGCGTGTATTCATTACATTTGTATTGTAATGTTGAGGATGCACAACACTCCTCCACTTCACCATACTTTGTACAGTGCTCAATCATGAATTCTAAATGTAATTATCTACAACCCTAATGCCTTACTCCCCTCACTAGAGTTCTCCATAGCATACTGTAAGCTTCTCCAGAAGGTACTCTCACCCCCCTCCCCACTGCTTTCTTAAATTCAACCCCTAACTCCAGCTTCATTCACCCTTCTTGTCGGGCTATTCTCAGGCACATTGTACTTTCATCCACTTCATTCCCTAAACACCTTTCACTTATATCACCCCACACCCATCAACTTGAGCTGGATGTTTTACTGTTAACAAAAATATTTTAGAATTTGGAAATGTTTGTTTATAGCATTGATTGGAACGAATGCTTCAGGCTAACTACAAATTACTCTCCAAATAGGACTGTGTTTTCAAGTTCCAATTTATAAAGTCAATGTTTCAAGCAAACAATAATGCAAATTTTTTTTTAAATTGGGATAGCATGTATAAACCATTCCTCAATTTTATATGTTGTATTTAACTACAACCTATTAATGATGGTACTGCACAATAACTACTGGAAAAATAGGACCAGGCAACCTGACTACAGTACTGTATTAAAATGTGACAAACTGCTCCATTCACTGACAACTACTTAATTTGAAAAATGTCATCTTTAGCAAAACCCAGCCTTAAATACATTTTTAAATATAAAATTGCAGAAATTTACTAGTAAATCTTAAGACTAATTCAATAGTACAGTACATTATTTTTATGTATTTCTTTGGCAGATTACCTTGTGCTCGATGTTAGTTTGCTGTGCCTTGTCAAGATGAACCTTGATCAATCGGGAGCCATCAAGTCTAACTCGGATCCTCTTGCCCACAATCTCGGCAGGGAAGACAAGATCCTCCAGAATGGCATCGTGCACACAGGTCAAAGTCCGGCTGTAAAGATTTGTCTGTTATAATGTGAAAATACCTCGTACAAATGAAATGACATAATAAGAACTTCAGTTCTTCTTAGAGGATATCAAGTACCAATCATGGCACATCATGCTTGAAGGGAATGGTCATCATTGTATATGGATAATCAGAATAACTATTCTAACAATCTAGTTAAATATTAAAACATGTCCTTGATAGGAATAGCAGAATACTTGAAAGATGTGAATGGGATGAAGAAAATGCTAATATAACAGGGGTAAATACAGTAATTTTTTTTTACAAATAGCCCAGTTTATTTAATAGTCATCCAGTAAAGTGCTTATTTATGAATCTTCATCCTGATCCTTGGTACAACTGCCTAACGTTTACATCTTTAGGATGCAAGACTCTGTTGGACATTCAGGTTTGTTCTCAACTCAGAATCGAGAGTTCCGGGTTTGAATCCCCGGCGGGACAGAAATAGTTGGCCTCGTTTCCTATCCCATCCACCTTAGCCGTAAACAAGTATACAGGAGTTTGTTTGTGAAGTTGCATCCTGGGGAGGGTCAATATGACCCGAGGGAGTAGGTAAGCAATTATCAAAAGAAGGCACCAAACCGGGAAGACTATGTAGCACCATCAAATGTGCAGAATAATCAGAGGGAACTAAATATCGCCAACGATGTCAATACGAGAACAGAAATGCATAAGGCGAATGATATCAAAAGTATCCAATTCACCAAGAATTCTATCGAGGGACAAGTGACAGTGAGGGTATTGAAAATCAGGACATTCCACAAGTCGGAAAGCAAGACACGCTCGCCCTGGAAGTCAGGACATTCAACAAGGATATGCATGACTGTAAGAGGCACAATGCAATTTGAACAATAAGGAGCAGGGTGGTGCTCCATTAAGTGACAGCGAGTTAAGCGTGTATGACCAATACACAACCTTGCCAAAGCCGTTTCCCATCGCCGGTTATGGTGGCAGGAGGAAGGTCATGTGGATACACTACGCTTAAAAGTATGTAATTTGTTACCAACAACCCTCCCAACAGGCAAGTATGGAGGATTAAATAACTTGGTAAAAGTTGGAATAAGGTATACCTTTACGGGAGATGGTACAAGAGCGGATAGCTTTCCTAGCGGCAGAATCCACACGCTCATTTAAAGAAACGCCAATATGGCTGGGAACCCAACAAAACTTAACCGACAACAGAGTAGCCTACACTGTCTGCAGAATTAACCCATTGGTGAAGGAGGAAATGGAGCGGGAGTGTAAAGAAAAGTGCTCAAGGAAAAGGAGTTTCAGAACCGTAGGAGGGGTAAAAGCTTTAGTGATGTGGGTCAAGGATGTACAAATTCTTGAAGTGGGACTCTCTATGGGGGTGTTGTTCCATTAAGCGACCATGAATCAAGTGGGTGTGATATACAGGTACAATCTAGCCAGAGCAGTCCCCCAATGCTTATTGTAGTTATCCTTAAGAACACAGTCTATCACCTCTAGTGCCAGCGTAATGACTGCCGATAATTGCGGATAACAGCATGAACGACTGGGAAAAAATCTACATAGGGAACCCATATAGGGAGCCTTAGAATATAAGCCTGCCCCAACTGAAAGCTACAGGTCAAGTTTGAACCTATTTCATATGCAAAACAAATATTTGTGAGTATACTTTTGGTTACGAGTAAACATGCCCCCTTTGTTGACAAACACACTAGGGACAAGGTGAAAAAATTAGTCTTCTAAATGTTCTTGAGAATTAGGGCTATGTCAATGAAAGAAAACTAAGAAAGCAAGCATATTCCTTACACAACTTTCCTTGCCCCATAAAGGTTCAGCCCAAGACCATTTTTTTTTTTAAATTCTCATAAACTAGAGGATTGGAATACTCTTACAAAGCTTACAAAGGAGATTAACAAGGAATGAAGTGCTGAATCCTAACTATCACCTTCAAGGTAATCTAATTATAATTATCAGGAGAAAGTAAGTAATTATCAAAAAGAAGGCACCAAACCGGGAAGGTTATGTAGTACCATCAAATGTGCGGGATAATCGGAGTGTTAAATATCACCAAGGATGTAAATACGAGAACAGAAACGCATAAGGCGAACGATATCAAAAGTATCCGAGTTACCAAGAATACTATCGAGAGACAAGTGACCGCGGAGGACAGTCGGAAAACAAGACACACGCTCGTCCCGGAAGTCAGAACATTCAACAAGGATATGCACAACCGTAAGAGGGACAATGCAATTAGGACAATAAGGAGCAGGGTGGCGCTCCAAGTGACCATGAGTTTTATCAGGAGAAAGCACTAGGCTAGTATGACTATATAGCACATGGGGACACGAGGACAAGGATCTGGAATAGGACAAAGGGAAGGAATGGTATACAATGCCTTAGACCGACTGCTGACCTGTAAGAAATGAGGTCATTGTGGTACTGACCAGTCTAGGTGGTTGATAAGGTCACCTTAAAGAAACCTGGGATAACCTCAAATGAAATTTGAGGCAGCAATTTAAATTACACATTATATCCACCCAAAAAATTAAAGCTAATTAAAAATCTCTCAATATGGTATATTTATAAGCCTCCACTACCACCCATTTTCATCCAAACTGGAGAAAATACATTAAAGATACACACACACATTAGAAGGAATTTTGTCAGTGTCAGTGGTAGTTAAATGGAATGCATTAGGCAGTGATGTAGTGGAGGCAAACTCCATACACCGTTTCAAATGTAGATATGATAAGAGCCCAATAGGCACGGTAATCTGTACACTAGTTGATTGACAGCCGGGAGGTGGGACCAAACAGCCAATGCTTAACCCCCCGCAAGTACATAGTAAAATAGCATACCTCCTGGGTCTCTTTTGCTTAGGAGGGTTCTTCATCTTGCGAGTTGGCTTCGCTAGAATGCGGCGCTGTGCAATCACAACAACATGTTTGCCGCTAAATTTCTTTTCCAGTTCACGCACCAGGCGCTGTTGTACACGTTGAAATGCACGCAGCAGTGGCACAGGTACAAATATTGCAATGCACTGAAAATATAACAATTATTGCCAACAAAGAACCAAAATTAATTGATTTTGAATTAGGAATATTTATAATACATGCTATACTATACTGTATTCACAAAATAAAACAAAATATATATATACATTTTCTTGAGCTTTTCCTACTAAATTAACAGGAAACTCATTTAGTAAGCATTTACATAAAAAATGAAAGTACTGTATATGAAATTACAAAGTTTAAATTTATACAAGCATCCACGTTAAATGAACCACCAATCACTTGCCAGTTCATATTGGGTGCAGCCTTACGCACATTGCAAGATGTAGTAACTTGCTGCCCAATGTGTAAATTTAGGCTCACACACACGACATTATTTGTAGTTTTGACTATTTATGGATAGCAAGATTAATTAAATAATGGAAAACCCATCTTGAAACCCAGTATAAGAAAAACACTGCCTAATTACAACCATGCTATGATCAAATATTTATGACTACTCCTTAGTTTATATCAAAATCTATAAAGATCAACGTTAGATGGTTCCTGGAAGAAAAATTAGAATGTAGATGTTGTACATATACATTTCTCATTTTGCACACTTAGAAAATACAAATTCAATAGTATGTGGATTAGAATTTTCATACCAAGTTTTGATGAGCAGGTTTAATGTGGGTAAGCTGCAGCTTCAGCTAATTCACTGCAGTTTCAAACTCTCTCAAACTCTATGTTCATTTACTTCTTAAGTTTATAGTCTAGCTTCACTGTACGTCCCAAGCATTCAGGGATAATGTACTGTATTTGCTACTGGAATGTGGAGGGGGCCATTATATATTATGAGTCAAGTATTTTATTTGGGTAAAATAAATTGAATTTTGGAAGACTGGAAACTAATCCTACTTTTACAATACTCTGTATTTAAATTTTGATCTGGTTGGTTGGTTTTCCTTGAAAGGAGGCAACATTCTTGCTGGTGCCAGATCAGTCTAGGTGTGATGGCCTGCCATAAAACAGAACAAGCTTTGATTGAGGAAGTAGAACTCCTGTACCTTCAAAACTGGCCACAGGTAAGCAAACCCTTCTAGTATAGAAGTTGGAAATGTACAATACATATTGTATATGCACTTTCTAAGCATTAAAAATGGGCTTTTAACACACATGTGCATAACTACTGTTGGAAGAGGAGGACTGCCAGAGACTGCACTGAAGTAGCCAAAATTCTGCCTTGGGCTAGTTCGTTAAGCTCCACACCCTGCATGGGACAACAGTGCCTTTCTATGACAAGTGCTTCAGCAGCCAGCTCACCAATAACACTTTCTTACTCTATCCCCCCCCCTCCCTCTTCCTGGGTGACTTTTGTAACTATCCTTGTCAGAAACCGACATGTATATATATTTCCACACATACAATTATAGGTACAGTATAACAATACTTACCCAAGAACTAACTGGCACATGGTCTATGAGACCTAATGTTTGGTATAACATTAATACTAGACATTATATTACAAATGGTTAGTACAGTCCAGTTTATGTTATGATCTTAAAATCGTACTTTATCGTTACATATATTAAACTAACCTTCTTGTCCCCAACATCAATCTGCTTGGCTCCAGTAATTGAGAGTTCTCGAAGCTGTGCTTTTAGCTCCGAGTTCATCTCCAAGTCGAGCAGAGTCTGCCCGATGGAGTTTTCGAACTCATCGGGCTGTTCAGCCGTCTGCTTGGTTATCTTGCCGTTACAAAACTGCGGCATCTGTCAACAAGACATTCTAATAAGAATATAGCTAATACAAAAGTTATATGTTTAGTAAGGTAAACATGTATAGTACCTCTAACCTATTTCTGAGCAGCGTTAATTTATCTTCACAAAAAGTGAAACATTTTATGTTCAACACCCTCATGGTGTATACACCATTCTACTTTTGACAAACTATTTTGATTATCAAATTTCCCATATTATTAATGTAGAATTAAAAATGGAAACAACCCGTAGAATTTAGTTTTTAGTACACAACCTAATTTTTCATACTGTGGGGAAATTTGTCCAAGCAAATTTTATTATGTTAATCTATAATAATGGTGAATAACTACTAGAACCTATCTGTATAGAGGTTTCGCCATATTTGATATTTTCCATACCCCCAGCCTCAAAATCTCATTTTCAAACAGAGGTGAGCAACCTATACTAAGGTATGCAAAAATCACACCAGGACAGTACTTCGGATTTGTAATCCTGAGGTTCTGGGCTCGATCCCTGGTGGAGGCGGAAACAAATGGGCAGTTTCTTTCACCCTGATGCCCATGTTACCTAGCAGTAAATACTGTAGGTAACTGGGACAGCAGACAGCTGCTACGGGCTGCTTCTTGGGGATGTGTGACAAAAACAAAGCTTGGTCGAGGACCAGGCTGCGGGGACGCTAAGCCACAAAATCATCTCAAAATAACCCAAAATGAAAAATGAACCCTAGTATTTTATTTAAAATATGCTCAATGACTTTCCCCAAGGACTAAAATGGTTTTTCTTGTTACGTCAATCTACAATAATCTTTAAAAAAACGACCGAGGCTATATTAAAGGAATTACCATTTATATCCTAATTTTTCTAAACTCCCTGGGCAAATTTTAAAGCAAAACTTTAATTTCACTATAACATGGAAAACTATCAGGGAAGAACCCATCTGTAAACAGATTTTTTCCCTCACTGCCAGTATTTCTCAGGCTCCCAGCAAGCATAAGAAATATTGCCGGAACAACTGTGGACATTTTCAAGTGGAAACTAGATTTATTCCTCCAAGGAGTGCCGGACCAACCGGGCTGTGGCGGGTATGTGGGCTGCTCCAAGCAACATCCTGGTGGACCAAACTCTCACAAGTCAAGCTTGGCCTCGGGCCGGGCTTGGGGAGAAGAACAACTCCCAGAACCCCATCAACCAGATATCAACCAGCCCTAATTCTGGACCACTACTACAAAATGGTATAAATGAACTGGGGACCACAAAAGTTTCCCTACACCCACTAAAATGATAAAAAACTGAACATAGAAAAACAAAAATTTGCAGGAAATTACATTATCCAATATGAATTTTACCGCTGGGTCCCCTTCCCCCCCTCTGGAGTCTGAACGTTTTATAGACAATTTCTAAATTTGGAGGTGCACTGGATTTCTAAATCCGTGCACAAATTTGGTCAGTTTAGAAGACATTATAAGGAGGTACCACTGTATAGGCTTAAAACATAGATTTGGGTATAAAAATATTAAGAAATTAATGTTTTTGAATAGGAACAAAAGTAAGTTTCAGACTTGTGTTCAATTGGGAAGTCATTTATAAAAGAATAAGAATATAATGAATGCAGAAAGCCTATTAATCTATGTGAAACTGCTATTTATACCCAACAATGCTCACTTGTGTCTAACCTATGCATGAAACAAATCCAGCAACATCTCTTATGTTACCTAGCACTGTTACATAAATACAGTATGCAATCCAATTTCCGAAATGTTCACCCAATTCATCTATACTGTACCAGTACATCAAAACTTTTATTAATGGGGAAAGTTTTTATTGAAAATTTTAGAACCAAGCAATTTGCAGTGCCCCATAATATTGCAAATTATTAAATGATTGTATTGTTTCTATTGGAATGTCATTCATATCTTGAGGGCTCTAACGAAAACTGCCACAAATAAATAATAAGAGCGTACCCAAGCTTTCCAACAGTCCATCATCCTTACAATGACAACCATGGCTGACACATGCACCTTCAGTTCCAAAACTGCATGCACACAGGAAGATCTCCCAATCCAAAATTCTTGCAAAGTTGGGCCAAAGTTGTTCATCAGGAAGCAACTGTGAGTTTAGGATTAAGACAGACTATTCCGATTCAGAATCCGAGTGAGGAACAAACTGCTTCGTATAGTGATGTGATGAACTTCCACTACATGGAATATAACCCTATAGTTGAGCCAGATATAGACTATATGTTTAACAAAGGTGAATCTGGTGGAAACACTTTGCCAGAATTTACCGACGTTGACATTTGCAATGGTGAGTAATGCTAGCCCAGGCAGAAAACGTAGTGGTGAAAGCATCATCTCCCAGGGTTTGCAGTGTTTTGTGGAGGACTGTGTTTTCTAACAGTTTTACACGTGTGACCAAAGAGCTCAAGTTAAAGCCGAGTCAAGCTCTCTGGGGGCATGTTGGAGCCCATGAAGGAATGACAGGCGTGCCGTGGCTGCCACCACACGGACACTGGAATAGTGACTATTCTTAAATTAACCATGTACAGTACCTTGATTTGATGCTACAGATGCAGGTGTGGGAACAATTCTCTTGTTGTGAATGAAATGTGTGAAATGGATTATTTCACAGTATATTTTGACAAAGTAATGATGGAACACATTGTGAAGGAGACAATAGGACTGCAACTTAGATGGAGGGAAGGAGTTATCAAGGGGAAAGCGCCAAGCCATTACGACTATATAGCACAGGGAAGGACAGAAGGACAAGGATTTGGGATAGGACAGGGGGGAGGGGGGAGGGAGGGATGGTGCCCAAACACTTTGACGGTAGGGATTGAACGCCGACCTGCACGAAGTGAGGCCGTTGCTCTACCGTCCAGCCCAAGTCGTTGGCAACTTAGATGGAAAGGAAGGATTTACATCTGTAATCATGTATACATAGATGAAAAAAAAATGTGGCTGAACTGAATACATTCTTGGTTTTAACAATGCTTATGGCACATGGACAGAAACACATCAAGAGGTATAGTGCAACCTGGGTGCTGTCAAACACCAACATTTAGCAAGTTCACTGTTGTTCCACGTCAGATTCCCACTTCTCTGGTGCACACACTTGAAGGATAACGTAAAAGCAACCAACTGGAAAACAGGGTAATTCTTTAGTTATCTGAACATGTTGTTCAGGTTACCTGAACATGATTTGTACATGTTGTTCAGGTAACCTGAACAACATGTACAAATCTTTTATTTACCAGTGCAGAAGGTTGTTGTGCACATCTCGGTGTTGTTCAAAGGTCAAATGTCCTTCAAATGGGATATACAGCACCTTGAAATGATTAATTTGTAACAGACAGTACTTTACTGAAAATCCTGTATTCAGCTAGCAATGTTGACAAAAAAGGTCCACACATTCTGTGAGTGTGGCAGAAAGACTGATGGCACCAATAGTGAACAAGGGGAAACATTTTGTACACCAATAATTATACCAGCCCCTCCATCCAGTTACTTGCTTGAACACAATACTGCAAAATATGGCACAGTTAAAGGCACAAATAAGTAAATGCCTTTCTTAGAGCTGAGCAGCAGTATTGGTGACTGTCAGTATGCAAAAGTAATGTGTTGGCAGTGACATGGATTAATTAGCATGAGGTATTCACACTGGAGATATGGTATAGTGGAATGCTAAACCCCTGAACCAGACAAAAGAACTACAAACTAGATGACATATTAGACTAACAAATATGGATCCGAGATACCACAATGTTCATTGTGAAAACTGGAGAGTATTAATGCACAGTGATGTAACTATGATCACTACTGTATTGGATAAATACACAAAGGCAACACCACATTATTCAGCACCTGCCACCTATTGGAATTTTTTTTTAAATTTAAATAACCTTTGTACACCTACTGGAAAGTGAGCAAGATACTAATGAGTGCATTGTGTGCCAGACCAGAGTGTAAGAACAGAAATACAGATAGATATGGTACAAAGAGTGGTGCTGTGTGCCATCTCGCTGTCACAGACTACTGTATCACATGCCATTTGATATTTATGTACTATATTATTATAGTTGGCACAATTTATGAGATGCTTATAACCTTACAAGAAAATAAGTTATGTATACTGTATATCTGTACACATCATACATTATACATGAACACTGTACCACTATTGGCATACAGTACCAATACATGTGACCACAGATAAAAAAAGGTGAGAAACTGAAAATAAAAGGACCAATAAACAAAATAAATTGCCAACAAAGGACTACGGCAAACCACCCTAGCCCAGCTACCAAATCCACAACTTCATCATAATATATAGGTACACAGATTTCAACAATGCAGGGGATGACCATAAGCAATCAGTGCAGTCAGATTTGCAGCAACACGACTTGCGAGGTGGAGAGTATAGAGGTCGATTCCGAAGAGGAGTTCTAGTAGAACAGGCAACACCAACTGAAACCGTCATCTGGCCATTACGAATACTGCAGTGGAATATACAAGGGCTTGGAAATAAAAACCACACCTTTCAGGAAGCTGCACTCAGCACAAAAGCAGATATAATTGTTTTGGGAGAAACTTTTCCCAGCCACGAAATCCTTCAGATTAGCTGGATATCAGCACTAACCGGTTCTCATGCTTCCTAGATTCTAATTAACAATACCATCAAGAAAACAATTTTGTGCATGTACATGACAATGCAAAGTTTTACCCTGTGCTACTTAATTAAGGTTCAAAGATCCTGGTAATAACATAATTAAGGTAACTGCAAAAGGCATGCTGACCCATTCAAGGCAGCTCATTTAGATCCACCTAATCTCAGTCATATATATACATCTAACCTACGCCTGAAACAATCAAGAGATCCTACTCTTATTATGTTTTGTGGTAATTGGTTCCACAAGTCAACAACCCTATTACTGAACCAGTAATTACCCAGGTTTGATGCAATACTCTGATCTCGGGAGACTGGTTGGGCATTAGTTTGATAGATCGGTTATTGGGGGTGGAAGCTAAATACTTTTTTCTCTAATAAATACAAAGTATTTATTTAGAATACAACCAGTTTCTTTGCCATTATCAATTACTTACCTGCCTTAATTTTTTACTGTTTAATTTACATGAAAGTGTTAAATTGACCTTTACATCCTGTTATCTGCAATTAATGAATTTTAGTTTATGGCTAACATCTTTCTAAATTCATTTATCTGTATCACCACGAGTTCTATAGAAAACCTCGGTCCTATTTGTTATATGCATTAAAAATATCTATAATTCTCAAAACCTGATGATACAGTTTACAATTATCATGGATTAAACCCACCAGACTACTGTATAGTAAAAAAAATCAATTGCTTTCCTTACAAAATACTTTTTATCAAGCTAATTCAGACAATTATATCCACACTTCCTTATCCAAATAAGGAAGATTTCCAGTGGCAAAATATTTCTGGACCATTACCATTTACATATCGATCCAAACAACAGATTTTCCCACTATACAGAGCAATGAAATGACCCGCAAAATATTATGTACAGTATTACTATATTACATACAGTAGTCTTATACAAAAAATGCTAAATTGAAACCTAAACAGTTCTCTAATTTGCATTGGATTAACATTCAAAACCCCCCTAAATTAATGTCCAATGTCAAGTGACCTTTGTTATTGGGTGAAATGAGACCTTTACCTAATCCGAGCATTGTGAATACATCAGACAGGTCAGTAAGGCAGAGAAGAATTCCAGAGACCTGGAACTTCAAGAGCAAGAGGTCATAGATTTAAACTAAACAAAGCTGCCGGAGAAATATAAGAAAATTCACTTTGGCAAACAGTGGTAGTTGGAACAAGTTAGAGAAGGTGGTGGAGGCCAAAACCGTCAGTAATTTCATAGCGTTATACGACAATGTACTGGGAAGACGGGACACCACGAGCGTAGCTCTCATCCTCTAACTACACTTAGGTAATTCCTCTGCTTTTGCACACAGGTTAATTCGGCACTTGTATATTATTAATTTAACGTCTTGCATGTTACAATAAGTCCTACATTATTGGGAGTAAACTTAAAAATTACCAATATTTTGCCCTTAACATTTAACACAGTTCATTGCGGTAAGTAATTGCTACAAATTCCGCATCCAGGTTTAGCTAGTAAATTATCAATTTCCCATTTTGAAAAAATTCTCTCCAACAGCCTCTCAATCAGAATTTTCCATTTTGAATACCAACAGAGGTTCAAAATGACAAATTTGTCTTGACTGCAAATAACACAAAGTTGCAGGCGAGGAGTCACAATAACGTGGCTGAAACATGTTGACCAGACCACACACTATTAGGTGAAGGGACGACGACGTTTCGGTCTGTCCTGGACCATTCTCAAATCGATTGTGGTCCAGGACGGACCGAAACGTCGTCGTCCCTTCACTTCCTAGTGTGTGGTCTGGTCATCAACACAAAGTTGCTCAGGGGCCCAACACAGTATTGGACGAGACACGTAAACTCTTAACGCCACACTGCGAGGACCAATCACACACGATGGCTCACTAATGATCTTTAACAATCTCCCTCACCTTACACAAATTGACCTAAGCTATAACACTACACAAGGGAGGCTAAACCTCCCACATTAGTATATTAATGAAATTTATGCAAGAAATTTACACCACTAAAATTTACAATAGGTGTAAATTCCTTACATCAATTTTCAAAATACACAAATATAGCTTTTTAACCTACATTATGATGCCCGAGGGAAGACATTACCATTAATAATACACAACCTTATACACAAAAATTATTTTTATAGCCGGTAGTATATAAGACCTACCCCCCCCCCCCCCCCAAGACTACTCAACAAGAGGCCTATGAGCCAATATGAGGCCTATAGCCCTAACACACTACTAAATACCTTAAACACCACTCCTACAGATAATCTAATTAAACAAAAACATTAAAATATATAAAAAACGAAGCAACACGAATATAAGAGAAACAAGAGTCGAGACGCGGCCCACATGGTCAACAAACCCCCCAAAAAAAACTTTTTCCCTCTATAAAACCACAAATTCCGGCCATTAATGGCCCTCCCTGGCACTCCAGCCTCGCCCTGGCCTCCTGCAGGCCCGGCCAGACACTCCCGCCGGCGCCAATACCCGGGAACAGTGGTGAAAAAGGCGTAATATGCGGAGGGTGCGGGACTCACCTTGAGGTCGGCGTGAGCGCCACACGGGGAAGGGGAAGGTGGAGTGTTGTCCCCGACCACATGACGACCGCCATGCGCAACACCACTCAATATACCCATATAAACCTACTAATATTTACTAATATTGACCCCCCTCTCTTCTATTCAAATCTCTAACATATAATCCCAATAATTAAGCAATTTATCCATTAATTTAATCCTTGTACTGCCTATTAAATGCCTTTTTAAACCCCCCTCCCTTACTATCTTCTATTTCCATCTCTGTTCAAATATCTAATATATATAATATAAAAAATAAAACATAATTTATGTATAAATTTCATTCTTGCACCGCTTGTTAATTTGTGGGTTTTCAAATAGCCAGCAGCTTCAAAATAATTACTGACTTCATTTTATTTACAAGATGTTACAAAGACTATCACCTATTCAGTATGTAATACTTGAAGTTAATCTTCCTACAGTGTTACGGTGGCTTTGTGAGAAAGTAATATAATATTAAGTACTAAATTTGTTAACAATAACTAAGCTATTGTTTAATATCAATACATAAATATAAATCGAGTTAATCAAATCGAGTTAATACATTCACCTATATTATACTATAATTTTATCAAGACTTGGCTATATAAATTGATCAGTTATTATAGAGGATTCTGTGGAGGGTTGGTAATAGCCTAAGCTACTTTATCCTTTTGAAATATATTTTATTGTTTAAATAAGCGTACATAGAGGAAAGTGTAGATGAGGGGTTACTATTCTGTTTTAGAACATATTTGGAGGGTAGAAATGCTACTCTATCCTTTTGGGATGTATTTTTTCTTGTCTCAATAAAGATACTTGAAGTTAAGAACATATGGTTGTTTGATATCCTCAGACCGGCCAATGATTGGTAATTTATGGGATGAGTGTTATTACTTGATAATTTGGGTTGTAACAAATTTTATATTCTTTATGTACTACTTAACGACCTCTATAATTCATTATCATCATTAAATTTAAGTACATTGTCATCGATAATTGAGGCCTTACAAGGAATGTAGCTAGTTTTTGCTCTACACTGTGCGGTTCTTCATACAGAATGGGGTAGCAGCATATTTTGCTGTGTTTACCTCTGCTTGTTAAAGAAAAGACATTGTTTGAGAGGAGTGTAGAAACTCGTAGGAGTAATTGTAATGTAATGTTTCCATGATTCAGTGCTTAGCTCTTGTGAAAATCGTGAAGTTGTTGTCTAGTCAGAGTTTGTTTCTTGTATTGAGTTAGGTATTTTCTCCCCTGATTCCTTGTATGACTAACCATCCTGTGAGATGGGAATATTAGATATGAACTTATAACTAGTTTTTTATCTACACTGTGTAAGCTTTCATATAGAATAGGGTAGCAGCACATTGCTGAGTATTCCTAAGTTTGTTAATAATAATACAAATCTACATGAACTCCACAAATAATCAGAAGATTTTGGCAAATGGTTTTTAATATAGAAACATGCAACACCTTACATATGGGGCATAAATCACAACTACACATCACAACTATCAAATTAATATTACCATGCAACAGATTGATTGATGAAGACAAGGCTATAGGAGTCATAATCCACCGGCAATTGACAGGGGCACAATTGAGAGCTGTAGTGAAAACGCCAACCAAATTCTACAGGAATAGTTAAACGAACCTTTGACTACAAGGAAAAGAATAAGTTTTATTTAACCGAACAAATCTCTGGTGCGTCCCCATTTGGACTATTTAACCAAGCATGGAGACTTCATCTTCAGAAGGACATGACTACTTTGGAGAAAGTTAACCACAAAGGGACAAAAATCATCTCAGAACTTAATCAACTCTCATACAGTTGAGAACCACAATTTTTGTTATAGCCACGTTTCTCTTAGGATTACAGAACAATTTATATAGAGTCGAGTGGCTGTAGAATATTTAATTGATTTTACCTGAAGGCTGCCATCCATCTAGTAACCTCGGCAGGGACAAGAATACGGGATGATCTTATCAACTGGATTTTGAACAGCAATAATATTTTGGTATTTACGACTTCGTAGGGTAGGCGGTTCCGTGGGCTTTACGTAATCTCACCTATCCATTGTACCTTGTGAATAAATTATTATTCAACTATATAATAAATGGTTGTAGTATAGCACATGCAATGAGTGTAAGTGTTTTCTGAAGTTATAGTATCTGAAGTAGTATATTTTCTGAAGTTATAGGCCACATAATGAAGGCATTATAAAGTCAAAAAGATATTAGTTACCAAGGTAAGAGATGCTTCATTTTCTCACCTTTGTACTTCTTATGGAATACAAACATTCTATTCTTAGTTCATTTATTATGGTCCATACCCATCCTGTCGGTATATATATATATATTATATTATATATTCTATATATATATATATATATATATATATATATATATAATATATATTATATTATATATATATATATATATATATATATATATATATATATATATATATATGTGTAAAGTATTAGAGCGGCACATAATGGGCTCAGGGACTGAACCCCATAATTAATTTACCTAAGCAAGTTTACACAATTCAATACACATAGACACATCAACAATGGGCTCGAGACTATTCCATGAATTGTCGAGCATATATATTCGCGAGGGAAATAAATTTCTAGTGGAAATTTCATTTTTTTCAATTTCTTTATTATACACCCCATACCCATCCCGTGGGCGGTGGTGTAAAGGATTACAGAGGCACATAATCGGTTCAGGAACTGAACCCTCTAGTTCATTTAGCTAAGCAAATAACAATGTTTGACGCTAGTTACAAAATTATCAATGTTGTATATCAAGTGGAAAGTGGGCTCAATATTCCACATCAGGACAAGAAGCGACACAAAGGTAAACAAAAGCCTAAAATATTTTCGAGTATAAACATGTTAATTCCTCGCCCAGCTCAAGATTACCAACATTTGATTTAGAATAGTTCTTCATTTTGGCCACGAGGACTACTATAAGTTTGACTAACTACATGAGAAATACTTAGCTGAGAAGAACTGTGTTGGAGGGTATGTGGTTAGTAGCAGTGATGAGGGGCCATAATTACCCTCCTCTCAGTCACATTAATTACCATTAACTCAAAATAATTATTTTACCATTATAATAGTTAGCTTTATTTATTTATATAACTGTAGAGGAAAGAAGAGAGAGTTGTGAGTGTACAGACGGCGAGCAAGTGGCACAGTGTTGTAAAGCCACCAATTATTATTATTATTAATATAATTATTATTATTATTATACTTAAAACAGTCTTGAAAATGTAATGACAGTTACATTTATTACAATTATTGTAATTTATTACAATCAGTTACAATACAATGACAAAATTGTATTGAATTATTGTTATATAAAGTGCCAATATAACAAATTATAGTGATGTACTGTAGTTGCATTTCTAGATACTAGTAAGATACTAGGAGAGTTTCTAGCACAAGATGGGATGCTACTGATGACCACACACTACAATTAATTTTTTATTAATTTCTTCTTTATTATGCACCCCATACCCATCCCGTGGGCGGTGGTGTAAAGGATTACAGAGGCACATAATCGGTTCAGGAACTGAACCCTCTAGTTCGTTTAGTTAAGCAAATAACAATGTTTGACGCTAGTTACAAAATTATTAATGTTGTATACACATGTACACACTACAAGATGAGGCTTCCTGCCACACCCAACTATACAATTTTTTTATATAATGTACTGTATTATGTATCTTCTTATCAAATAAAAAAAAAGCATGGCAAATGGTGTATTGTATTATATTAAAAGTTACTCTTTAATAATTTGCCCAAAACGCTATGTTTATTAGTGGCTTTAGGTATTGTATGTACTAGCTCTATCTATAAATCCAACATTATGTTTGTATATCAACTATGTATGTACTTTTCCTGAATAAAAAATTATTTTAATTATTAGATATTTTTGCCCTTTGCTGCCCCACACTGGCATTCTGTATACTTTGGTCATGAAAGTAAATACTGTACTACTGTATTACTGTAATATTAAGATGTCAGTACAAAACTTTGTGAAGCCCATAAGCCACAGTAGTATAATAGAACTTTCAATACATTCTGTATTTGATGTACAGTACTGTAATGTACAAATACAAATATTTATTCAGGTAAAGTACATACATACAAGGTAAGATACAAAAGTTGATGGATTTATAGATAGAGCTAGTACATACAATGCCTAAAGCCACTATTACGCAAAGCGTTTCAGGCAGTACACACATGTATTTAACATTATAATGCTTCAGGACGACGAGCAGTGGTGGTCAAGGGAAGGTGTGGATGATGGAAAAGGAAGAAGAGATAGAGGAAGTGTTGGCAACAGGCGACAGTCACAACACACTTCAACTGGACACTCTGGTCGGCCACATAGAGAACATCATTCTCAGTGAGTCGCCAGTAATGCATCAATCTCTCATTCTTATTGTTTGTTCAGGGCCCATCTGAATGCTGCAGTTTAGCATCTCCTTCAAGCAGTCACTTGTAGTGATGTGCATATGCATTCTGATGGGTTTGACTAGGTTTTCTAGATTTATCTATGACCCCCCAAGCTCCTGTCACCTCATACAGGTGAGCCAGAGTCTGCTCCAGGCTTCCATCAGGCATGGAATTGATCTCAGATGCCTGGTGTGGTTAGCTAATGTCTGGCAGCACCAGTGCTTAAGCTCAGAGACCCACCAAAAAAAGGGAGTTGTATATGCTTGATATATGCTTGATATATGTCAACAGCTATCTTATGCAGCATTGTTTATACACTTACTGTAATCCCCTTTTACTTTTCTGCAAACCTTTAGTTCCCTTCTCACTTTAATAGCAAGAACAATGTTCCATTTTTTTTTTTTTTGTCATATGGCACCCTGCTACATATCAGTGCTTCTACTACCTATATAGCTTTTAGCTACTACAGTACTGTACTTTTCTGCTCTCTTTCACTTAATACCATATACTCAGCTACTTTGTTCTTGACTCGTATTTAGAGAGCCCATGTTCAATTCCTCTGCAGGAGAGAATTTGATCTGAACTCATTTTTTTTACTCTAGTTTCTAAATGTGAATGAATTTTATCAATTTAGATCAGTTAAGTTTGTTCTTTGTACTACACATGTAATTGTACAAAAACATGCTAAAGCAAGTTCTAATATAATTTTGATTCTTCAATGTAATCTTACAGGTGATGAGTTTTCAAGCCTGAGAGAAGACTTCCTGAAGCAGCACTGCCATGTATTTGAAGATAAGGATGAGAACAAACTGGAGTACATGGATATTTACAAACAATATGTATGCTTCATCGACTCTTGATCGATTGATTGATTGGGAAACGTATTATCTCTAGCTCTACAACAGTTGGCTACATTGAGCGGAGGGGCTTTTCTGGAGGGAGCGTCCCAGTGACTCTCTGATGCAAGATAGCCGCAGAGAGCTACTGGCGCTCCTCCAGAAGAGGCATCTCATTACATTCAATATTGAATTTCTTAAATAATGGGCTAGACAGAATTGTGTAGCTGCAAATTCACTTCAACTGAATTAATGGACATCAGTTGGTACATAATCTACCTCTTGCATATCGTGCTCATATTTTTATTGCCCATCTTCATAGGTTTAAATTGATACTTGAGCATTGCAGGTCTGTGCTCAGTATTCTCATAAAAATGACCACTACAAGGGAAAGCCAAATGCCAAACACCCTCATATGTTGTGCTGTGTGTAGTATCTATTTCCTGCCATGAGAAAATTATTTAAGATTTTGTGGGTAATTCATGATGACATACTTAAAGCAAAAGTGATATTTAAACATGTTACATATTTACAGCTACGAGTTTTACTTGTACAATCTTTCTTGCAGACTAATATGATTGAGGCCCACATAGAAAAAGAGTTATCTAACCTTGACAGCAGCTTTGAGATGGCATCATTTCTACAAGAATTAACTTCGTCTTGTGCCGTTGATGGCGAAGTGTTTGATCTTCTAATGACTCTCACAGACTTTTTAGCTTTCAAGACGGCCATGCTAGATGTTAAGGAGGTTGGAACATTAACTTTATTTTGTTGAAGATTATCTTGTTAATAGTTGTTAACGTCTTGTACAGTTGCATTGCCTTAATGTTCATTTGTCAGTCATATTTATATTCTTGAACATATTTCTTTTTATCTTGGCAAATTTATGTATACATAATACATTAAATGTAATGAATATTTTTGAGGTACAGTATACGTACTGTATAATTCAAGGTGAAATAAGTGAATTATCTATCTTCTCATATTGTTCGGGGAACATATGTAACTGAAGTTGGACAATGTCAAACTCAATCTTACTGCAGTTAGTATCATGCATTAATTTTCCCAAGTTCCATTAGTCTGTCACTCACATAAGTATATTGATCCATTGTGCCTTAATCCTTAAAGAGCTAACCTGATTAAAAGCCCTACATCATGCTGCATATGAGAAGAAAGAAGTATTCGTAATACACAAGGTAAGGTAATTATCAAAAGAAGGCACCAAGCCGGGAAGGCTATGTAGCACCATCAAAGTGCGAAATAATCAGAGGGCGCTAAATATCACCAAGAAAGCCAATACGAGAACAGAATCGCATACGGCGAATGATATCAAAAGTATCCGATTCACCAATACAGTACTTCCGTGTAAAGTGAAGTAGGGTATTGCATTTAACTTTGTAAATACTGTATTGGTCTTTTATCTTGGGTATCATGCATCATTCTATAATTTTATACTGTACTGTACACCCTGATACTGTACTGTACTTCTATATCCAGTACTTTAGACTCATTTTACACCCAGCTCTGCAGAGGTAGATTTAATTGAGTTGACAGGATACTACTTGAGAATGTCTCTTTCCACAAGTGCTTCCATTGTATTAGTATTTGACTTACAACATGGTGCCCAGCCATTGCGTGGTTGACCATAGCTTCTTGCTTATGCTTTGTCTTTGGGTTATTTTTCCTTGCACTTATTGATTGAAATTTGAGTCTTCAGAGTTATCTTCTCGAAGGCCTTTGGTACATCCTTCAGTATGTATGTGAACATAAGAAAGTAAGCAGGAATGTAGAATGTGTACTACTGTACTACACCTACTAACATTTTCTATACTGTATGTAGACAGATATCGAGTGTAACCTTTATTTGACGTAACATTTTGCATCATCTAAAATGCTGACGTGAACATGTAATAAATCATTATTGGAAGTTTAGTTGCTATAAGTAATTTTTTTATTTACATTAATACATTACCTGTACATTATTTACACTGGTTACTTAGCTCAACTGAATTATTTGTTTAATAATTTTGGCAAGAAGATTGATGTGTCATAATTATCTTTTACCTTGGAGAAAGTGCTAATCTCAAACTTTGATTGAATATAGCATTATTTTAAACTTGTTTTCTTTTTCAGAGTAAAGAATTTGGATGTGATGAACTAGAGGATTTGCTACAAATAACAAGTCTTAAGTCCTAAAAAAGAGATTAATATACAGAACAGTATTTACTGTATAAGGGATTTATATGTACAGCAGTAGGACTCACCCACAGAAGCTGCCGAGCTCAGTCCTTCCAGACACTTACTGCCAGGTATACGACTCCATTAACTCCATCAACCTCACACTAGAATAATAAACAACTAACAAATGTGTTATAACAAAATGTCTTTATATGCTATTTTCAATATATTTATACAGTAACTAAATATTAAAAATTTTCATTAAAATTAAGACACAAAAATAGAGGTTTCACGCTGTACGATAGTGTAGGATTTATTGGTGCTACATCTGGCAACGTTGAGCTGCATTCAGTGCAGCCCAATCACTCCGTCAGTCCTGTGTTTAGTGTTTACGTTGAGTGTGGGGTGGTGTCATGTGTTGCTCGTGGTGCTAAAGTTTAATTACCCTATGACAAACAATGACAATGGAAAGTAGAGTGAACTCGGTGAAGTATTTACAAAGTATCAATTTTTCGCAGCTGACATTAAATGAAAAGATCGAAATAAAAGCAAAAGGAAGACATACACCAGTTTTATCCATTCTACAGAGAAGTACAAGCAGGAGCAAAGAATATACACGTCAGTTTAACATCAGTGCGTATCAGAAATGTGAATGGCTCTGTGGTTGTGATGAGAAAAATGCTTTATTTTGCTTTCCGTGCTTAGTGTTTGGTGGTGACCCATCATGGACAAAAAGTGGTGTGGCTGATTTGAGGCATTTACCACAGAAGATAATGAAACATGAGCAGTCGGCCAAGCACATGAATAGCGTGATTGATTTATTAATGCTGGGTAAAGTGAACAGTGTAGCTCAAATTGATTCAGCATACATGCTTTCAGTTGCAAAACACAATGAAGAGGTGGAAAAAAACAGAAATGTGTTGTCCAAAATCATAAACTGTGTCAAATTTTGTGGAAAATTTGACCTACCTCTTAGAGGGCATGCTGAAGCTACGAGCTCCAAAAATCCAGGGATATTTCGAGGCTTAGTCGATTTTGCCTGTGGCCTGGATTCCAGCTTAGATGCACATATACGTAATGCTACAGTGTTTAAAGGACTATCAAAATCAATACAGAATGAACTTTTAGAATCTATGTTAGAAATCTGCAAAAATAAGATCAAGGAAGAAGTAAAGAATGCAGAATATTTGGCAGTTATGTGTGACGAGACAACGGATATTTACGATAAAACGCAGATGGTAATTGTTCTAAGGTATGAGCTACAAGGAAGACCTGTTGAGAGGTTTTGGGGATTTTTTAACTTAATCAATAAGACAGTAGAAGCATTATCAATTGTATTATTGAAAGAGCTCCAGATTTTAATTGGTGATTATCCACACAAACTCATTGCTCAAACATATGATGGTGCAGCTGTTGTTAGTGGTGCTAACAAAGGTGTGCAAACCATAGTGAAAGAAGTATATACCAATGCTCACTTCATCCACTGTTATGCACACCAACTGAATTTAATTGTTGAGCAGGCAGCATTACAAAATACTGATGTTCGAGTATTTTTTAACAGCTTGTCAGGCATACCAGCATTTGTTTCAAAATCTCCACAAAAAGTAGCTGCAGCAGCTGGTGTTAAGAGAGTTGTGAATGATCCTGAATTTGAGTTTTGGTTGGAGTTTTTCTCCAAAGTAATGCCTCATGTTGACATCTTGTTTTCTCAGTTTCAGTCTAGAAATATTGATGCAGCTAAGGCTAATGCCTCTTTAAAAGCTTTCACCTCTGCAGTTCATAAATTAAGAGATGAATGTGATGCTTTTGTGCCACCACCTGAGCCAAAGAGAAGAAAATTTAATACAGATAGATTAGTCGCTGCAAAGGAGGTTTGTGACGTAATTTTATTGCAGTGCAGAGCGAGGTTCAGTTTCACTAATCATTTGGAAGCTAGCAAGTTACTTTTAGTGAATCAATTTCCAGTGTATACCAAAGACTTCCCTAGTACTGCACTTGTACAAGCAGTTGCAGCCTATCCCATGCTTGAAAAAGACAAATTGAGAACTGAACTTAGTGTACTGTACACAAGAGAAGATTTGTATAAGTCAGAAAACCTCATTGACTTGTTGGAGATTATGAACAACAATCATTTACAGTCAACATTTTCAGAAACTGTGAAGCTACTGAAAATTTTAATAACAACTCCAATGATAACGGCAGAAGCAGAAAGGTGCTTTTTAACTTTGAAGCGCATCAAAGCTTTTTTGCGCAATACCATGGTGATTGAGAGACTATCTGCTCTAGCAATGATATCAATTGAAAATATAATGATAACAGAAATTAAGGATTTTAATGAGAAAGTAATAAATCATTTTGCTACATTGAAGAGCCGATGCACTGATTTTCTTTTCAAGTAATATTAACCTTACCACCTCAGCCATCCATACCTCCACTAACCCGACAATAATGATTCCTATGGGCCTCAGTACATATATGGTGCGTTTATTAATGTCTTTCATTTAATTATTTTTGTTATTACAGTATTTGATTGTACTGTTGTGTGAAGCTTGCAGTGATGCAGCCCCTTCATTCTATTTACACATAAATTGCCACTGCTATACGGTATTTGTATACAAATAGTTTTCCACTGTTCAGACAAGAAGCCTTTTAAAAGCTAAGGTACCCCCCCTAAGCAGATGACCGACTTTTTTTTAGGATGCAGCCCACAATGTTCATTTTGTAATGTTCATTTTGTTCTAAATAATTGTAGACATAATCGAATCCTATGAATTATTGTCTACAATTATTTAGACTTCAAATTGACCTCTGGTTTCCAAATAAGAACCCAGGGTCGTAACACCCGTCACTAATCATTGCGCAGTACAGTACAGTATAAGCATTTGTGGTAGTGTAATTCAGCATGTTTTCAGAAATATTATAAGTAGAAAATCTGAAACAATTATTTGATAACATTTGTATTAATGAGGCACTCTGTAGGATGCCTTTGTAATGTCAGCAAATGTTTGGTTTTCTCCTCCTTATTGCCATACATAGTCTGACACTATATTCTTCATATCATATTCCCAGCCTGGTGCAGTACTGCGAGACACTTTTTTTTTATTGTTATTAAATATGTTAGAGTGAAAAAATTATTGTATTTTTTGTTTTCAGTTAATTGATCAAGTCCATTATACAGTGATGAACACTTGATATCGTAGACTACTGTAAACTAATATTTCGTTGTCAATAGCAATATATTGTACTTACTGTAAAGAACTTAATAGTACTGTACCAAGTTAAAATAAATAGACTAAATAGATTCTGCTTTTGCAGTAGAAATTGAAGAATATGGATAAATATTTATTGAAAAGTCTATATAAATGTTTGATGGTTATACAGTAATCGGGTATCAACAACATATTGCATTAATGTGTTTCATTTAAAAATGGGGATTGAAGGATGAAGTTTCAAAATATAATGTACTGTATAGGAAAATTTAGGTGAATTGTGGTAGACACTAAAATATGATAGCATTAAATATATATATATTTTAAGAAATGTATATTTTAGAAATCACACACAAAATAATTTAAAAACTGAAAGTATTGTTTTACTATTCAATATTTTAGTATTGTATAGTAAAAACAGTTATTGTTTGTACAATACTAGCACAATACAATATAGTAAGAGTACAGTACTGTACTAAGGAAAATAATTTAGTAAATACTGTAATGAGTTTTGTGTTGTATTTTTATATTTCTCTTATATTAAACTTTGTAAATTACTAGTTATCTTTATATTTAATACAACCTTTTTTAAATAGCTTGTTATCTTTTTAGATTTTCAAGTTGTGACATGTAAAAACAATACAACCTAAGCATTTGAGAGAATTATTAGTTTTCCTTGTTGTGACATTTAGGACAATGTGACCATATAGCACTCTGAAGGATGTGAGGACAAGGAATGGAATACGTGGACAAGGCAATGGGATGTGAGGACAAGATGAAGGAACAGTGTCCAGTTACTTGAACTAGTGGGGTTTGCACACCGACCCTGCAAGCTACAAGACCTTCTCTGTTCCAACCAATTCAAGTGTTTCACGTTGACCAGACCACTCGCTATAAGGTGAAAGGACAACGACGTTTCGGTCCGTCCTGGACCATTCTCAAGTTGTTGTCGTCGTCGTCCCTTCACCTTCTAGTGTGTGGTCTGGTCAACATACTTTAGCCACGTTATTGTGACTCATCGCCTGCAAGTGTTTCACTTTAAGGGCTACCTTCTGGTACTTGATATAAATTGCAATTATCAATGTCAATTGATAATTGATTAATATTAATCAATTGTCTTAATATTTTGGGTGATACAGTATATAGGTAAGCAAAAAGAGATGATACTGCACTGCAATATTTGATAAGTTAACTAATACAAAAAATGCCATTTGGTTAAATATTTGAGCTTATTAACATTTCATGATATTATACTAAGGCTGAAAGCAGATGTAATATTTGTTATCACAGTTTGTGAATTGTTGAGCTTTGTTAGATATACTGTACTGTATACGAGAGGCTGGCACTGTTACTATCTTAGATTAGATATTGTGGGGCTGGAATTGCTTACCTGTTGCTGACACAACACTTCCCTAGACAGTGGAGCGACGGTCTCACTGTTTGCAGGTCGACGTTCAATCCCACAACCGTCCAAGTGATTTTACACCATTCCTTCCCTCGATCCTATCCCAAATCCATATCCTCACATCCCTTCCAAGTGTTATAACAGCCATAATGGCTTAGTGTTTTCTTGTGATAATTACCATACTTTACCCATACCTTGCCTCTCTCTCTCTCATTTATATCTGACATGTTCATCACCTCTCTCAACATTCAACATTTTCATCATATTTTTTGTCTTTCTGGTACTGGTACAACTATATTTTAAGGCAGATATTGTGGAAATAGTGAGTTAAGTAGATCATGATGTAATATTTTACATTTAGCTTCTAATAAAATTTTGTCAACATAAAAACTAAGTACTGTACTGTGGTGTTAAAGTCAATTTGCAATTTAAAATTCATATCAATATTAGAGATTTTTAGTGTGTAAAATATGTTTCATAATATACTTTCCTTTTTTACTGTTTGAAACAAGCTATCAGTTTCCACAATCTTGACCTGGTGCAGCCTCTACAAAAATGAAACTATGCTCAACTTCTTTGTTTCAAATATAGTGTGTTTGCTTTACTAAACTTTCCCCTTGAAGCTTACCAGGTATCACAAGGTTCATAATATTAAAACTGATCAACAGAAACATAAAAACCACTGGAGTGTATTTGTTGGGAATAAACAGGAAGGACAAGTGGAAACCCCAATGAAATGTTCTTGTTGATTATAAAAATACTCATCAACATTTATGTACACAAGTTACAGCCCCGCTCCTGTGCCAGGTAAGTCCACTACGGGCTCACCATAGCCCGTGCTACTTGGAACTTTTTGTTCTCCGTAGCCGAATCTAAAACGACAACATTATTTATGTACAGTATATTATTTTAGTATTTACTTGCCAAGTTTAATATTCATACATGCTAGGTTAAGAGAAAATCATTGGAGCAGGACAGGGATTGCACCAATGTTCTGGGTAACCCCAGATGTGCACCTTAACCCATAGACCGTGACGTGCTAGAGATTATATAACCTGAGATCTGCCCGAATCTACTAGGAGTCTGGAGGCACTGTACTGCTAGGCAACTGAAGTGTTAGATATAACCTACAAGTACCTGTATAGGTAGTGGAGTTCACATTATTGTAATATCCCTGTGCATGCTAGACCGACGATTAGCATTTAACGTTTTGAAGAGTTGCTGTTGTGATCACTATTGGCAGGAAAAAATCTAACTCAGGACGCTGCACAAGTAATGTTTACAACTTAGTTGTGACTAGCCGAGTATGCCATACAAATATTGTATTAACGTTTATTCTGTTATGTTGGGGGCTGATGATTAAGTGTTTCTCTAATGGGTCTTAACTAGTTTTCTCAAATGGTGAGTCCTACAGTGACATAATTTAGAAATCAAGAGACAGAACCTATGGTAAGACCAGCTATGATGCAGGTGTTGAGTCTTCTTGCTTGTTCATTTAGTATTCTTAATAGCATGATACATAACTATAATATGGTATATAAAATACTACTATGACCCAACCAGGATGCAAACTTACTTAGCCAATGCTGACCCCCCGGTGTACACAGTAATGAAACCATTTCACCACTTCAGTACTGTGTACATAGGGGGGGAGGTGAGCTCTGGCTATGTAGGTTCGAGTCGTGGTAGGGTTATAGAGTTATTAGTAATTTATGGCTTGGGGACTATTCAAGCTCTCTCTTTATATATATAAAAAATATATATACTATATAATTCATAACAACTAATGTTGCCAGTAATATTAATGTGTAATTCAGGTAATGTATAAATGTAAAAAATAAACAAAGTATTTATAAAGTAAACAACATGATGGCCAAAGTCTGAAGTGATAATGGTTAAGCAAGACCTTCACTGCTCTAGTGTGATGTTTCAGAGATACTCTCCATGTATTTCGCACCCTTCAGTAAAACTAAAGAAATGAGCAATATAAAATGCCATTCATAATTAAAAATAAGTTGTATGGAGCCTCTGATTTTTTTTGTGAGTGTAACATGAGTAAAATGCACAAAACAAATTTGGTCAATACTAAAATTGCAAATGAAAAACAAATTTAAAATAGAGTCATACAACATTATATAGTGTCTAGGTAAAATGCAAGAGCACAAATAATTCAAACTTTCAACAAGACTTACTCTATAATAAATACAGCAATTATAGCACGTTTAAAAGTGTTATCATATGTATTTTGTGAGAAGAAATAATGGAAGCAAGATTTGTTTGGGGGCAAGATTCCAAGAATAAAAAAAGCAATATAATAGTGAGAATGAACATGGTTTGTACATAATTACCGTTAAAATTAAAAATATGTTAGAGTATAGAAATCCTAAAAACCATTCAACTGCACAGATATAATTAGATATTTTCACAAAAATCTTTTATTTGGTAGTGTATATCTATTCTCACAAGATAATTTTCTTGGAAAATAATTAACTCAGATCAGATATATAAAACAGAATTCTGATAAACATACTCATCTTGATACACCTGGGCATAAGAGTGGAGAATCTAGGGTTCATGGTTCTTGTCACTACCACTCACATGATGGGTAGAGGGTGCAGAAAAAATCTAAACTAACGTGGCAAGTTTGACGCTTAACACTATTATTGGGGGAGTGAGGCAACTGCTACCTGATCCCTACTGTTGTGTTTACTTCTCACATAAACAGGAAAGTCTAGTGCCACTCACCGTGCCATAACACACACATGCTGCACTAACACCTTCAGCA